AGGGAGGGAGAGGGAGAGGGAGAGGGAGAGGGAGAGGGAGAGGGAGAGGGAGAGGGAGAGGGGAGAGGGAGAGGGAGAGGGGAGAGGGAGAGGGAGAGGGGAGAGGGAGAGGGAGAGGGAGAGGGGAGAGGGGAGAGGGAGAGGGAGAGGGGAGAGGGAGAGGGAGAGGGAGAGGGAGAGGGAGAGGGACAGGGAGAGGGAGAAGGAGAGGGAGGAGAGGGAGAGGGAGAGGGAGAGGGAGAGGAGAGGGAGAGGGAGAGGAGAGAGAGAGAGAGAGAGAGAGAGAGAGAGAGAGAGAGAGAGAGAGAGAGAGAGAGAGAGAGAGAGAGAGAGAGAGAGAGAGAGAGAGAGAGAGAGAGAGAGAGAGAGAGAGAGAGATTTTCGTCGTCTCGTAGTAAATATGAGGCCGCAGTAGCTGTGCCTGCGTTATTCACGACTCAATTTCCTACGCCTTTCCCTCCATCTCTGTAACATTAACCTCAAACGTTGCGTGGCCCCAGTTCTCAGACCAAAATTGACTGTGCCATAGCATGTTTGAGGAGGCAGTACAAGAAGCTGTGTCTATCAGTTACCTTTCTCCTTCTTCTTGTAAGTGTCTCTCCTCTCTGAATCTAGAAACAGCTATAATCCCTCATATTCCCTTGGTATTTTCAAATAGCGTGTTTCAACAAATTCCACCGGCGAGGTTTCCTGCCATGAAGTTGACCCCGACACGTGCTGCGCCGCGATGTAAACAAACTCGGCGGCGTTTGTGTGTGGGAATCCGGATTCTGGATCCACGCCCGGTTCCCTGGATCCATTGTTAAAAAAACGTCATCGTTGTAAAATAAGTTTTTATTTATGAATGTTATATTGATGTGGAGTGAATACCATCTTGTTTAAATGATTAGGAGAAAATATTTGTCTGGAAGTCTGCAGTATGTCATTTTTCCAATTTTCTTCCTTTGTAATCTTTTCTTATTTATGCCTCTAATTTCTTCCTCTTTTGGCATAATCAGGACATAAATATTGCCTTCTGAAATGCACACTGCAAATGAAAATGATTCACTCAACACCAGACAATAAGAAAACGAACTTATAATAATGATATAATAATAATAATAATATAATAATAATAGCAATAATAATTATGATGAAACTACTTCTACAGCAACTACTACTGCTGCTTCTACTACTACTACTACTAATAATAATAATAATAATAATAATTATGATAATAATAACAATGATAACAATAATGATAATAATAATGATGATGATGATAATAAAGATGATGAGGATAATAATAATAATAATAATAATAATAATAATAATAATAATAATAATAATAATAATAATGATAATAGTAATAATAATAATAATAATAATAATAATAATAATAATGATAATAATAATAATAATAATAATAGTAATGATAATAATAATGATGATAATAATAATAATGAAAATAATGATAATAATAATAATGATAATCATAAAAAGAAGATGAAAAGCGATAGTAATAATGATAATAATAATGATAGCAACAATGAAATAATAGTAATAGTAATAATAATAAAGGTTATTATTATTATCATTATTATCTTTATTATTATTATTATTATTATTATTATTATCATTATTATTATTATTATTATTATTATCATTATTATTATTATTATTATTATTGTAGTTGCTGTTGTTGTTGTTATAATGACAATAACGACAGCAGTAATAATGACAGCGACGAGAAAATAGCCCACAAGGAGCCACAAAGCGCCCCCCAGCAACTTCGCAAACACGCGGCAGGCGATGCGGGCGGCAGCCTTGAGGTCGGCGCTGTGCTTCTCGTCCCGACTCGTCTCGCGCCTTTGGATCCCGAGGAACATGTCTTCTGACGGCCAGATACCAGCCAAAGTCCCAAGGCTCAATGAGAGATTGGTTTGGGTGGACTTAGAGGTAGGTGTTTGGTGTCCTAGGCTACGTTATTTTGAATTAAAGGGGATAGACTGTGTGTGTTTCTTAAGGTCTGAGATGTATTTGCATAATCAAATAGCAGTATAAATGGTACTTGTAAACGCAATCGGTATTCGTAACCAGGTGGGACGCACCTTTCAGAGACGAAGTCCCAAAAATAGGGTATCTCGCAAACCAGAAGCCAAACCAAACCTTTGCTATCTTCTCTTTATTCCCTGGACGGGGTGGTAAGTCACCCCTGTCCCCCACTTTATTAGAACGTCATGCCAACTTACGAAAATGTGACATTAAGAACTTGGACTGTGTGAGGGTATTGTGGACTTTGTCTCAGTGGTGATATGCAATGGGTATTTTTGTCATTTCGCAGTAAATATGAAGCCGCAGCAGCTGTAGCTGTGTTTTATATTAATCTATATCTTTATTTCTGTCAATATTAATGAGAGCAATGCACAAAGATAGAGGGAAATGGACACTGCCATCTTAGAGAGCATACACAATGGAGTAATAAACAACAGAGGCACACCTGCAGCGACCTCCTATTTACCATATAATAATGAAAATATCCACTGCATAGCATTGCTTAGAGACTAAGTCCACAACATCCTCACACATCCAGAGTTCATAATATTGCAGTTTCTCTAGTTTGGCACAAAGTGCTAATAAAGGAAGGGGTAACAGGGGGCTTCCCCCCTGTCTAGGGAATACATGGAAGGTAGGAAAGGATGTTTGGAGTTTTGGGTTTGCATGATAGCCTGGTTTTGGGACCTTGTCACTGGACGGTGCAGCCCTCTCAGTAAGAAATACCTTTATTTCTTATGGTCTATAAGATAGCAGTGACCATTTCCCTCTATATCTGTTCATTGCTTTCCATAATGTTAACCATGAGAGCAACTCATTCTCCAGAGATCGAGTCCCAAAATTAGATTTGGGTATCATGCGAAAACAAAAATCCAAACATAACCTTTCCTACCTTTTATTTATTCCCTAGTATCCCTATTGTATTAACACCTCATGCCAACTCCCACAATAATTTTGCTCATGAATAATAGCAACACACCTTCTGTGTCATTTTGCATTAAATATGAGGCAGCAGCAGCTGTACCAGTATTGTTTATGACTATATCTTATGCTCTTTAATATTTCATATACTCTTTTTATGCATTATTTTCAGTAACATTAACCACATAATTTATATGTTGTTAGCATACAGAACAGATTTTTTATTTTTATTTTTATTTTTTTTTTTACAAAATAATCTAATATCTTAGTACAGTTGATTCGGTCATTGTTACTTGTATGTTGTAAACAATCATTTGAGAAAAGTAAACTAAATTTTTTTAAAAGCCAAGTAAGAGCAGCATAATTTAATGTCCTATGCAGAATAAAGAATATATAGACAAGTGTCCCCTCTCCTTTGGCAGATGACGGGCTTAGATGTCACGAAGGAGGAGATCATGGAGGCTGCCGTGATAGTGACTGATAGTGATCTGAATGTGGTTGCCGAAGGGCCCAACCTTGTCCTGAAGGTGGAAGACAAGGTGCTCGACAACATGAATGACTGGTGCAAGCAGCATCATGGTGATGTATGAGAACCTTTTTTTTCTTTCTTTCTTTTTTTCCTTTTTAATTTATCATATATGGAGTGTACATTTTTGTGTGTGTATCTCTAAAAATTATATATAATATAATCTGTGAAAATTCTGTTTAAAAAACTTTTTTGTTAGATTATTAAGTAATATATATTTTGAAGGATTACAACAGTTTGCATTCTTTTTGGAAATTTCTCTTATTTTGCTATCTTCAGTATTTGTATATTACATTGCATGTCTCATGCAGTCAGGATTAACAGCTGGTTGCAGGAAGAGTGAAGTCACACTTGCTGCAGCTGAAGACCAGTTGCTGCAATTTGTGACACAGCACACAGAAAAGGGTATGTTGGCAAAATGCTCCTTTTTTCTGTATTCAGAAATTTGAGAAAGCTCTGTGTACAGATACTAGGTTTAATCATATTTTCCACAATGTCAGAAATATTACATCATAGTAAATCACTAAAACAAGTTTATTCCTACTCAGGCAAGGCTCCCCTGGCTGGTAACTCTGTTCATGCAGATAAGAAGTTCCTTGACAAATACATGCCAAAATTGATGAAACATCTCCATTATCGTATTGTTGATGTCTCTACTGTAAAAGAGTTGTGCAGGTTAGTACACTTCATCATGGTTTTCATGTATTTTGTATACTGGTAATATGCTTCTTCCACTTCTTGTAATGTGTGTAAACACTTGGTATGGCATTTATTTACCTGATGATGATTCATTTTCTTAAGTAGCTTTTTCCTTTTGACAATTATGTAAGTAATATCCATTAGTGGGGGGAAACATGATAATTGCTGGCTATTGTAAGGGTGAACTAGGATGGCCAGATACCTTTTAACCTCATACATGCAGCATTTACAGTAGTCAGAAGACTGTGACATAAGCATTTGCTGTAGAGATTTCAGAGTTGTATATCAAAATTCTTGGGGATAATATATATATATATATATATATATATATATATATATATATATATATATATATATATATATATATATATATATATATATATATATATATATTATCTATCTATCTATCTATATATATATATAATGTATAATCTTGTGCACAACCAAAGATAATTTGTTCTTGAATTTATATCTTTTGGATGTGCAATTCTCAGGTTAATTAGATAGACTGTCGGAAAGAAATCCTTTTTTCTTGCTTTTTTTTTTCTCTCTCTCTTTTTCTAACAGACGTTGGTACCCAGAAGACTTTGCTTCAGCTCCTACAAAGAAGGTGGCTCACAGAGCCCTAGACGATATTAAGGAGAGCATTGAAGAACTGAAGTACTACAAGTCAGCAATATTTAAATGAAATGTAAAACCCTTTTGTCTATTTTGTTACAGTTGTTGTTTTGTCAGCAGTATTTATATAAAATTGTGCTTCAAGAGTCATGTTCCTTTCAAAATATGACATTGTTATCTTGAAATAAAATAATGCAGACATTGTTGTTGTGTTTTTAGCCTTCTTGGTAAAAGGTTGACATTTTACTTAAGTTGATGTGCTTTAGTGAGTATTGTAATTCATCTCTTGTCTTCTATCCATAAGGGACATGATCATTACCAGCCACAGACACAGTTGATCCTTGATTTTCAGTTCCTACCAGTTTTATTACACTGACTCCTTTAACTCATTAATTCCAAGAGTATGCATTATTGTGTACTCTCAACTATGGTTTGTTTCACTGTTATTACTCTTCTTTTTTTTTGTGCTTGATTTTTTGAAAAAAAAAAAAAAAAAAAAATGATAATAATGATAGATGGCGATAGTGATTAGCAACAAAGGAGTTAATTAGTTGACTTTGTGACCTTACCTGATTTGAATTGGCAGGAGAGGTATTTTTTACTAGTACTATGAACATCGATGGTGTTATTTTTATTATAAACATTATAATTATTGCAATGTTTTAAACATTGGTAACAGCAAAATAAGATAACGTTAAATATTTTTGTAAATCAAAGAAAAGGGTTAATGGGCGAGACAGGCAGTACTCATAACTGGAGACTTAGTACAATGGTTAATGGTTAATGGTTAAAAGCAAGATAAATGTGCTAGACATCTAAGGTCATGTAGCACTATAGTTAATGTTAGTGAAAGGTGGATGAATTAGTGATTAGTTGTCTAAGCTGGGCAAAGGAATTGGTGAGTTAAAGGGTTAAGGTCGGGTGTTAGATTAGATAAAGGATATGTATGCGTTTGAGGAAAGAGAACAGGTTGTTGATGCAGAAAGTGTGGGATTCTGTAAGGATGTCTGATAGGTTGGGAGGTCAGTGAAGGGAGGATAAGTGGGGAAAAGCAGAGGTACGGGCTGCTTCAAAACGTGGGCACGACAATAGGATGTGTACGATTGAAAGGGGAACATTACATAAGGAACAGACTGAAATCACTGTGATCCAACGATGAAGGAAGATACGAATAACTGTACAAGGGACATTGGTTTGAAAGGGTGGTGTGACATAAGGTGTTTTCTGATTGATAAGTATGGACGAGACATAAAGGGAATGTGGGGAAGAGACAAAATGATAATTGGGGATTGGTATTGGAGGATGTGTAAGAAAGGTTACTTGAAGGCATACAATAGATGGGTTATAAGAGGAAAGGATATGACGAAGGTCAGGTCTGTGGGAGCGGAAACCGCGAATATTCCAATGAAGGATAGTTATACTTTCGTTGATTTAGTGATATAGATTGCAGTACGTGTTGGAGACTTTGAGGGGGGAAGCAGCTAGAGGGTGGGATAAGGACTGAGAGGTTTGAGATGGGAGAGATGTGGGAGTTGGTGTTCTATCAGGAGGGGTATTAGGAGATGGAGGGTCTGAGGAAGGGGATACTTGTGACATAAGGGATTCACGTGTGTATCCAGGAGGGAGTGGAAGGGATAGAGGGGATGGTGGGAGGGTTAATGTGGGCTGGGTTGGGGTCGAGGTCAGGGGGGATGGGCTGTGTTGGGAGGGGGTAGGAGGATAGGGTGTAGGGGGGATATCGTTAGGAGGGGGATGGATATCAGCAGTTACTTGGAGTGTGGAAGGAGCAGGGGTTGTAGGTTGAGTGTCAGTTTGCATTAAGTAATCTTGAATATTTTCAATAGTTTCTTCTGAGGAGTTGTGGGGGATAAAGGATTTGTTGTGAGGGGGGGGAAGAGAGGACTGGTGTCTCAAGAGTAGGGGCAAAGGATGGTGGAGGTGATTGTGTGGTAGGGGAAGAGGGGGTGGAACGTTTGTTCTGCCTGTTACGGGGAGTGCGAGGAGGGAGAGGGGAAGGTGTTGGGGTTGTAGTGGTGATTGGAGTATCTGTAGTAGAGATTGGAGTTTCTGGATTTAGGATGGCAAAAGAGTTTGACTGGGGAAGGTAGGAGGTAGAAGTGGGGGGGTTAGATGTAGGAGGGGTGGGTTTAGGAGAAGTGTTAGAATGAGCAGTATTACTGGAGTAAGGAGTAAGAGAGAATCCATGTCAACGTGCTTCCTGTCTGGCTTCACGCAGTGTGAGTCCAAGTTTGAATCTGAGAGTTGCTACCTCAGATTCAAATTTGTAGGTGGGACAGCCCCTATAAAATACATTATGGGGGCCGCCACAGTTGGCACATGTGCGTGATTGTGCAGAGCAGTTAGATCGGGTATGGCCAGGTTGGGCACATAATGGGCATCTGGCTGTGGAACGGCAGTGTTTGGCTGGGTGTCCTAGATGCCAACAATTTTGGCACTGACGTGGAGGAGGTTGGTATGGACGAACAGGGAGGGATTCTCCTCCTATGTAGACGTTAAAGGGAAGGTCATGTCTACGGAAGGTAATTTTGGCTATGTTAGTGGGTTTCTTTCGATGACCTCTGGGGGGGATGGAGTAGCATTGTACTGATGTTGCATCGTAGTCTGTGAGACAGGCAAGTAGATCTTCTCCACAATCTGACCAATCTTTGTCATAGATTGGGCAATTTGCTGGTGAGATTGAGATTGTTCCGGTGCAAGTATTGAGGGTTGGATGTTTTTGGAGGCATTGTTGGAAGAGAAGGGTGTTGTCAGAGTAGGGAGCTGTGGGAGGGATCACGAAAAATCTGTCCCATTTGGCTGCACTGAAGAGAGTATTAAAGATTGTTTTAGAGATAGGGGTGGTAGAAGGGCGAGGGCGTGACGAAGATGGAGTAGTGTTGATGGAGGTAGTGTTATGGAGAGGTGGGCTATAAGGCTGTAAGGTATTAATAAGGGAGGATGGGGTGGTTGATGTTGGAGGTTGGGGGGGTAGAGGTGTTGGGCATGCTGGGAGAGTGGAAATGTTCCTTGAGGGTTGATTGTTGGCTACTGTACTAGTAGGCATTGGTGAAGGGGCAGTTATTGCAGTGTTCGGAGCCGTGGTCAAAGAAGAGCCTGGGGTCGGGGAATCGGGTGGGTTTACTTCTTTGGGGCTATTTGATAAAGGGGCAAGCCTCATTGCCCCTAACAGTGGGGATATATTTTCATTACTGGCCATGGTAAGCCTGGTTATGTTGGGGATAAAAACAGTCCACCCCTCACGTTCCCTTGAGGGGTAAGGGCTAGATACTAAATCAGGGGAATACCGTGCCCATGGCTCCCTCAGGCCGTTCAGGACTGGCACAAAGTCAGCCTTTCATCCTTTCAGCACGGCTCTCACACCTTAGGAGGTGGATAGCAGAAGGGTTTGGTGAAGGGACAGAAACAAAAGTGGGAAGGGAAAAAAAAGACCATGCATAATTAGTTGAGTCGAGGGCTGAGTCCCAAGGTTGGGGAGTTCCCCATCATTGGGTCCCAGTCTCCGTCTCCTAAGCCCCCCCACGACAACAACGGGCAAGGGATTGGGGGGGAGACTTAGTACAAGTGTAGCCATCTATGTGGAAAAACAATCAAAAAAGTAACTCACAGTGGGCATAGCACGTATGTACACGTCATGCCTGTTGGCATTGGGGTAAATGAACTGTGGTCATTAGCTCAACACTCAATCTGATCATTCTTTTTACATGGTTATAAATAATATATCCTTTATATATTTCAATTTTTTTATTTACAATATCAACAAATGCATACCTTTGGCATATAAACAATTTTTTAAGATATAAATTATTTCTCATAGAAAGGATGGAGATTCAATGCCTAATTCATCTCTCAATTCACTTAAAGACTGTTCCCACCTTTTCTCAAAATATACATTCATTAGTAATTTAGAAGATCTGCCTACTCTTAGTGCCCAAGGGAGATACTCAGACATATACTTCTGCCTTTGCTTTGGCCTGAATCGCAGGGGCCCAAATATGGCACCGCCCACACACATGGGTAAGCCAGTCTGGATGCCCTCAATCCACTTGACAGCCACTTCACCAAGCATGTTTGTGGGCATGCCTAGGACTGTGTGGAAAAGGTCATGGCCTTCGCGGTACCGCTGCATGACGTAGGCCAACTCTGGATCATCAACAAACTGGACAGGCAAGCGTGAATCAGGTGTAACTTGGTTGTCGTCAAGGAATTTTATATATGCATGACCGAGAGTGCCTTCAGGAAGCTGGCGTAAGAAGGGTAGGTTGAGTGTTGAGCTATTAATCCTAGGCTTGTCTATAAGGATTTGCCGACCTTCTTCATCCTCAATCATCATTGCATAAATTTTGGACAGAGCGGTGTGCCCTGTCGTCTCTCCAAGCACTGCAACCATGTCATGGCGTCTAGGGTCCAGAAGGGCTGCAGCTGCTGCACCTACTGTCAGCAAAGACTTCTGGCAGATGTCTGTGGGGATGTGGTGTTCGTAAAGAGGCAATGCCTTCTCTTCTTTAACCTCTTGGTTAGATTTTGGATCATCAACATTCTCCCTTGAGAGCCGTATGGGGATTTCTCTCTCTTCTGAAGAGTCTGCTTTCTTGCTTGTTTTATCTGCTATTGTGTGTGTTCCCCTTGCATAGTGGTGGGACAATCTTCCTGTAGAAGTAAGCCAAAGTAAGCCAAAAATCCATAATTGGCAGAGAGAGGCTAATTCAAGCTGACAAGATGTGATGCAAATAACATGGGATATATAGCTAATTGTTATCAGTAATTTGCACTTGACTTTGCCAAGAGTAGGGAGACATACATTAACAGAAGTATAAACCCTTGATCCTGAAATCAGGACACTGTTTGAGATAGTATTTATACCACAAAATTTATTATTTCTGATTTCAATCCTTCCTTGCCTAACTGCAGTTGCTAGAAGTAATTTTCACTGATATTTAATTCTACATATTTTTTAAAGCCAAGGGCTATTAAATGTATGCAGAAAGTATAAAAAATGAGAGTAAAATGAAATACAATTTCTTTACACTGATTATGATTTTCTTGATGTTCTTTGGTCATTATTTTATCTGCAAATCTATTCTTTATTAAATATAGCTGCAATATTGTAATTGTAAAATATATATTGCAGAAAGAAGCAAATGAAATGGCTGGGATATTCACTATAAATATTAAAACACAGCA